CGTTTGTTGCTCCAGTCCACGCTGCTCAGTGAGCAGAGGACGAGGAAGCCGTTTCCTGCTCTGTTTTCCTCTGTTGCGGGTGGGCGCTGCCGGCGGCGCTGCAAGTACCGGTCCCATCCAAATGCAGTATAGTACCATTTTAAATGCCTCAGTACCGCGGTACCATACTAGTACCGGTATATCGTGCAACACTAGTTGGCTGCATTGAAATTAGCTGCTGTCCTGGTTTTTTGGAGCATGATGATGATGTTCTTGAGCCCATGAGGGTTTTCTAAATGGGCCAGCTCCAGAATGAATCCCTCCAAGGATTGGATTCATGATTGAGAAACATTAAGCGGTTAAGGAGAGCATCAAACTATGCATTTGGTTTTTGCGCACTCTGGTGAAGTGGAGTAGTCTGTAAGCAGATCCTATGGTCTAGCCTAGAAGCTTAATTTTGCCTGACGGTTGAAGACTGAGACAACATGTAGGCAATAAACAGTGTATCTATGTGCAAATGTAAAATTAATGCTTAACAACAAGCTTTTTCAATATGTGCCAACATTATGTGTACAACCTTAAGCATCTGACCACTAAAAGCATATGGTTTTATATATAATATATAGCTGTAATGTAATTAGTGTAACCTGTTTTTGCACTTTGCACAGCTTGATTTCTTTTGGGGAGATGGTCTTGAAGTCTTGAACCAAGGAACCAGGAATTGTTCTTGTGGAGTTGACTTAACTGTGCGGAAGAAATGGGAAATTTCAGCAAAGCCTTGAAGTATCCCAGCAGACCCCACCTTGAGAACTACTCAACTCTAAGATAGTGTAGCCTCCGAAATTTAAAGTAATATTATTGTTTTATTCATGGTGATAGTGCATCATTTTTTGTATATATGGAAGAGGAAGAGCCCTGGTGTTGGCCAAAGATAGAACCTGCAATATATAGTACTGTGAAAGTTTAGCAGTTTTAGCAAGGTTGTAATGGTAATATATATTGATTTCTCAGTCCCTCTATTAAGCTATAACCAGAAAATACAGGAAATATGTAAACAATATTAAACACAAAATTATCCGAACAAACTGGCTTCTACAGTCCAAAGTCAGTATTTAGTGTAACCTCTTTATGCACTTTGCACAGCTTGATTTCTTTTGGGGAGATGGTCTTGAAGTCTTGAACCAATGACAGACCCTACACCATGTTTCACTGACCTTCCATTCTTAACCTTAGAAACGGTAGCTTGGCATGAAAATTTCCAAATTCATTGAATAAGACCTGAACAGAAACCTACTAAGTGTAACCTGAGTCGTGAGTCGAATGATTTTCATTATTCTTTGTGTCTGTCTCACTTTTTCTGCCCTTTACACCTGGTTCTTGTAGATGTTGAATCAGAGATGCATTTGCCTCTGCTGCAGTGATTAAATTGCAGTGATGGATCAGTTTGAGCAGCTATTTGTATAATTTCCATTACTCCATTGTCTTGTTTTGCAATCTTATGGGACAGCCCTAAAATGTGTTTTGCTATCCAAACAAGACATTGTAGTAGCACAGCATGCAAAACCCTACACCAGAGTACTTGGGGTGTGGTTTCACATATTTGGGGGATAGAAACAGATTTTCAGTAAAACAGAATTGTCAAAATTGCCACAGCAATCATTTTTCCCCAATATAATAATATAGTTAAAATAATAGGTTTTACACTTCCCATAATGCAACTGACTCAGTGTTTCCCCTATTTAAAATAAAGTTCATACTGTTATCATCCTATTTGTTTCCTACTTTATGGTCTGAATACTAACAACCTTGGCGAAGATAGACTTCAACTCTATCATTCAGTTTTGTTATATTTTTCTTCAGTGTAACACGAGTGGATTTGTATGAACAAGCAGAAACGCTTTACCAGCACAGGGATTTGGCATACCTTGCAGCCTCCATATAGACACTTGAACATCTATCACATACTGTTTTAGCAGTAATACAGAAACGTGCCAGAGTTTTCCTTGAATGTGTCTCCTGACCTTGTTACACAGAAATGACTTATAACTGTATATACTGTACTGCAGAGGGGAAATGTGGAGGGATACGTGGGCAGTGTTTAAGATATGGAAACTGTACAGAGCGGTTTGAAGAATTTCAGAAGGGCTCAGCTGACAGATGTGCTGTCCTTTTGTCTCCACAGATCACCAGAAGTTGGAGCGAGAGGCCAGGATTTGCCGCCTGCTCAAGCATCCCAACATTGGTAACTAATGCTCCCATTCTTTTTACTCTTCTGTCTCTTTCTGTTCACCCTCTCGTGATCTGATATAGATGTGTAATGCAGTATAATGTATATCCATATGTTTCAAATCAAATCAAAGGTTAGCTTGATGATGGTTTCATAGATATAAGGGGGTGGTACAATAATGGTTTAAATATAGGGGTACCTATAGACATTTTCAGACTGACTCCCAGGAAGCATTAATGGTTTTATACTTGATAAAGGTAATGAAAGTTATTAAAAGTAGTCGTCTAAAAAAAGTGAAGAGAGTCTGAGAGAGTTCAAATCCAGACTGGGAACCATCGATCATCCAACAAACAGGTCTGATAAAGTTTAATGTTGGCTTTAGACCCCTAGTTTGGGTAAAAAAAAAACCAGCAAGAAAACCTTTATAAGTGTTTTCCCAAAAAAGGAAAAATACATATGCTTAAATGAATTCCTACAAGAAACCCACCGCCACAAATAGAGCACATGTACTGAAGCCATGTACTGCATGGCTCCGGTTCCCCCTCCCCAACACATGCACACATACGGCACACATTTCCCTCCCTTGCTTCAGTAGTCACAGAGGCCAAACTACTGTAATTACCACCTCAGTAACGACTTCACTACACTGAAACCTGGCATTTATTTGCTGTTCGGTCCCTTTACTTTTAGTGAGTAGGTGGCAGCAACAAACGGATGGATGATAGGGAGTTATTTGGTTTGCTGGTCTATTGTCCTGATGTCAGAAATTCACTAATGAACACATCACAGAGGAGGGTTTAGTTAAAGGAAGGTTATTTCACGGAGGTTTGGGTTCCCACATTAATTATTGGTTAGTTAGCAGCCAACATAAGAGATCTTTATATAGTAGATATTAATTTTATTTTACATATGGTGTAGTTCCTTGATAGTAGAGTAGATAGAGTGAGTAGATAAGGAGTGAACCATTTAGAGCCCAAATGGTACTATTGATATAATAATAATTTTTAGGTTGATTTGGATGGTTGAGAGTAATAAGTGAGATGACAATATCACCTAACATCAAAAACATAACCTAAAAATGAGAGAGTTATGTAGTTCCATTTAATTGTATTTGTATAGCACCAATTCACAACAAAAATCTTCAGGCTCTTTACATGCGGTAGCAACAGTAGTAATACCTTACAGTATTACAGAGAAAAACCCAGAAAATCCCCCTTGAGCAGCACTTGGTGACGGGGGGAGGAAAAACTCCCTTTAATGGAAGAAACCTCCGACAGACCCCGGCTCTTGGTGGGCGGCCTTCTGCCACAACCAGATGTGGTGAGTGGATAGAGGAGAGAGAAAAGAAAAGAAAAGCAACAAAACACAATAAACACAACCACAGTCGAGCACTGAGCAGGTTGATGTGGCCGGTGACTGCTCATCAGAAACGTAGAGCTCCAGAGCCAGGGCAACCTGCAGAAAGGTACAGGGAGAGAGAGAGGACACACTACGGGAGAGAGGAGACACACAGTTAGTGACATGTAATGGTGGCATATAAATACAAGACATCAGCCTGACATCTTTTTAGCTGGAGTAGATGTGACTGTCTTAACTTGGATCAAGATAGCCAGTTACTCCTAGAGTAACAGCAGTCTATTAAATTGTGATAGATGCACATACAGTATAGTGCAATGCAGCTATTGACGTCACCGGTTGGGGTGAGTGGATAGAGGAGAGAGACAAGATAAGCATCAAGACACAACAAAAACAAACAATCAAACACTGGGCTGGTCGATGTGGCTGGTGACTGCTCATCAGAAATGTACAGCTCCAGAGCCAGGACTACCTGCAGAAAGGTACAGGGAGAGAGAGAGGACACACTCCGGGGAAGAGGAGACGCACAGTTAGTGTCACGTAATGGTGGCATATAGATGCATGGAGACAGAGGATAGGAGAGGAAATCAAAACATTATGGGGGCCCCCCAGGCACCTAGGCTTATAGCAGCATAACTAAGGGAAGGCTCAGGGTCACCTGATCGAGCCCTAACTATAAGCTTTATCAAAAAGGAAAGTCATAAGTCTAGTCTTAAAGGTAGAGAGGGTGTCTGTCTCCTGAACTGAGACTGGGAGTTGGTTCCACAGGAGAGGAGTTGGATAGCTAATGGCTCTGCCTCCCATTCTACTTCTGTGTACGCTAAGAACCACAAGTAAACCTGCACTGTGAGAGCGAAGTGCTCTGTTGAGATGATAAAGTTCTAAGAGGTCTTTAAGATATGATGGAGCCTTGTCATTAAGGGCTTTGTTTGTTAGGAAAAGGACACACACACAGTTTTTCAGCATCACTTTAAGAGAGGATGTTCCTGATTTTGACAATGCGTGTTTTAATAAATGTACTGTTTTTTAATTAAGCATCAATCCAAAATGTTTGATATCACAGTAATATTAAATAAATCATTTGTGCTTTTTCTATCAGATACAAAAAGTACAGTTTGATTGGTGCCCATTTTTCATTGCCAGTCATTGTATTTGGACTACTGGATTACTGTGCCTAGATTTAGGTGTTTACTGTGGCAAGTTCCTGATAAATTTCTGCAGAAAAGTAGTGAATACCTGTAATTTATTTATATTCAAGTGGGAAATGTAGGTGTTTAAATGCTGTTTCTTGGCAGCTTCAGTCTAAAAATACTGACGCTGGTGTGACATCAGTTATTCTAATCAAGATTGGACTTTTCACAGATCTGTTCTGCAGTAAATGTATCGTTCAAATGCTGTTTCTTGGCAACTTCAATCTAAGAATATACTGACACTGGTGTGACATCAGTTATTCTAATCAAGATTGGACTTTTCACAGATCTGTTCTGCAGTAAATGTATCGTTCAAACTATCATACAGTGTATGCCTTATCAGAAGTGCTAGACAAACAGTATGCATATGGACATTCTTAATGTTACATCAGTAAAACCCTTTGTATATGCTGTGCTTTTATTGATGTAGACTGTATATCTATATAGAGTATGCTGTATGCTTTCATCTGTAACTGCACTGACAATATAGAGTTTTACACTTTGGTTTGGTTGAAAGACCTGCATTTGTCTGTGACAGCAAGATGAATGGTGATTATAAAGCTTTTCTCTGTGATTATCTTTCAAGAATAAAAATCAAAGAACAGACACCTCTGTGCCAGAAGTCATTGGTGGAATAAAGTTGAGACTCTCAGTAAGGGGTTTTAGAAGGTGGCTGACTTCTCCATTCAGAAATCTCCCAACAGACATGGCAATCTACAGATTAAGATTCTGCATATGTTGCTATGATATGAACAGTCACTTTGAGGATTAATTTAACTTTTCATGAAAAGTACCCCCACTGCTCATTTGTGTTGAGTGGTGGAGGTAGTTAGCATATCTTAGCCTAGACTCAATTTTACTGATTCAAATTCTGCTTATTGAATCTCCGGTTCCAACATTTTTTTGGTGAGAAAGAACAAATAATTCAAGACTATAGCAAACACGCAGGCACAAAATTGATATCAGTCTTCTCACCTTACTCTTGGAAAGGAAGCAAAATGTTCCAGGAATTTTTCCCCTTTCAGCCAGTCATGTCTGCTTAGCAGTAATAGACTGTTAAAGTTTGCCACCAGGAAAGAAAAATGCTGAAAATATCAAAGCAGACACAAACTGGTAGATTTTGACACCTTAGTGTTTCACAGTTTTACATCAGTGATACATTTCCTTATTTGCTGAATCCACTTGTCCAAAACTCTTAACCTCACTTCACCCAGAGAAGACACCATTCCACTGTTCAATGCCCAGATTGTGGTTAACACTTACTTACCGGGTTGCCTGGTGCAGTGTGTTTAACATAATATACTAACTTAACTTCTCTTTTTTCCCTCTCCTCTTTCTTCCCTCCCTTGCAGTGCGGCTCCATGACAGCATATCAGAGGAAGGATTTCACTATTTGGTCTTTGACTTGTAAGTCTAGGATTTTTATTTTCCACATCACATATATGTACACCACATGGTTAAGCACGGGCCAGACACACAGAAAAACACACTGTCATCATCGTCAGGTTAGAAACCTGACAGCTGCCAATCAGATGTGTTCTGTCAGAGGTATTATCATAGATTAGACGTGGCATTTTTACTTCTTCTTGGCTCCATCTGCGCTTAGTCATTGCACACCCTGACCATATTCACACACCACTTAGAAACATTGCACTGGTACTTTAGCTATGATATAGGACTGCATCATGCGCACACACACAAATTTCAAATGAGCTGAACTGCTTCATGTAGGATCAGATACAAACCATGCAGTTTTCTAAATGAGAACTAATGTTAATGCAAACACAAATAGCAGGAGGATGACCTTATTCACTCAGATCTGCTAACAGCCATCTGCTGCTTCTCTCTGTTCATCATTCATACAAACTAATAAAGTGTCATTTCAGCATGTTACCGTTAAATATCACTCTGAATAAATGAATATTTTAAAGCTATTCATCCTCAGATGTGACTACCAGATACTTTATAAATATTTTGTATATTATGCTGCTTTAACCTCTTTTTCAGTTTGAAGCTACAGGTTTTAAATGTGTTTTTTTTAAATGGTAATAAGTTGGCCCTTTCAGAAACTAAAACCTACAATAACATCACTGTCATGCCATTGGCCGTTGGTGACACTGTTAGAGCCACAGACTGTGAACCACAACCCACAATAAGTTTCTGATTAATGGCATATGTTTTTTAAATTTCCCCACAAATGCTGCGAGACCAAAAAAGGACTGAAACATGAAACCATTCAGGATTTCTACAGGTGGAACCCTTAACTTGACTGGAGAAGGATGTTAGTGTGCATGCTCTATGGCCTTAAAAATGCAGGAGTGTGTAGACCATCCAGGTAATTTTTTCTGCCAAAATCCAGAATCATGAAGATTTTTTTCCAACTATGAGCCACTGATTAACTTTCACAGGATTGAATTGGCCACCATTGTGTAATTCGATATTCAGTTCTCCTTAATGCATCCATGGTTTACATCATCTCAGAAAAAAAATGTAAAAACATAACTGGACACAGCAACTTCCCTGGAGTCTTCTTGTTATGCTGATGTTGCCAGGTAAGCAGCTAAGAAACATAGTCATGCTAAAAATCAGAATAGGGAGATGTATAGAATTTTACATGAAAATTCTTAGTTAGAACCAGACAGTGGCCTGTATGGGAATGTGGTCTGATTTCTCATGGCCATGTTCTTCAAATCTGATCAAATTTTTAAACATAACATTCATTATTTGAAATAATTGTGGAATATACATTGTCTGACCCAGCATTTCAGCTGTGCAAGATGCACTGTTACAATAATTTATCTGCAAAAAATGTTCTTCATTGAATGTGGCTGTAGTCTTCTGTCAACCTGTATTATATCTAGTACTACTGTTTCCCAATTTGTTAATAAAGCAGTGAATATCCCTACTTTGTTATAAACCTAATATCCTGGGCTTTCTATGTCACTTCATTTAATCTCCATTCTATTGTTCAAATCTCACCCTCTATCCCTCCTCCCGTCTACCCGCCATCTCCCTCATTCCCCCTTTCTTGTGTATTGTCAGCTGTTGTTTGCATTCTAATCTGACAGCCAGAAAGGAAACTGCTTTGAGTTTATTATAAATGCTGCGTTTAATTTGACTATGTGCCATTCAAAAGAACGAAGGGTGTTTAACTGGCTAAAACACAACACACAGATTAAAAGCACTAAAAGAATGCTGTAAGAGACAGACTGGTTGAGCAAAGTGACCGTGAATGGAGGAGGGGGCTAACGTATTATATTTCTAGAAGCTCAAAGTTTAAACCCCCTTTTTTTTTTTTAATTAAGTGAAAAGCAACACATTAATATACTTCCAGTCTGCTGAATGCATGTGAACAATAATACTAGGACTCTCCAGATCATTTTACAGCTGAGATTGTCTCAACACCATAGTCATTAAAAGTTACATAAAACTTTAATGTAAAAACCCCTGAAGACTCAAATCAGTAATGTTTGATAGGCCATGGGAAACTGGTCTGCTGACCCACTTTTAAACCCGTTTAACACTTTTAAAGGGAGATAATGTCAGTTTACTCATTATGGGATGTTGTACTCAGAGCGTGAAAGCATCTGTATAATGTCTTGAATGGAGTTACTCAAGTCTGGCAGAATATGACTTTCTAAGCTTGGAGACTACGCAATTTTTAAGAGAGTTCAAGAAAGACGGTGAACTCACGAGGAAGGGGTCTAATGAAAACCATTTGAGTTACATTATGGGAAATTTAGAATTCACTGTTCAGTGATTAATTCAACTTGATGTGTCTTTGCTGTTTTATTGAAGGACAATATTAAATTGTGCTGTGTACTGATGTCTTGTTAATAGTAAATCGAAACAGTATTCACTAGGTTGTATTGACCCAGTGAAAAAGCCCTAAGACCTAGGGGGTACAGAAAACAAACACATTCAAGAGGCTGCAATACCACAAACCTTCCTGCAGCATACAGTATATGACAAGATAGACAATACAAGTCCATTTTTCTTAAGGCATGCCTGAGACA